CCCCCCCCCCCCCCCCCCCCCCCCCACCCCAAGAAAAGGAGTCACAAATAATATCTAATATAAGTACATAAAATAGGTAACTCAAATTGTTATTCTGTATATGATGCACACATATGAGATGCATTTTAACATATTCAGGTCAGGCATCAATTGCTAATGCAAGTTTCCTAGGCACATCAATTGCAAGTTCACTGATGCTTAGCTGTGGGTTGGGTTAGATCAGGCTGAAATGGTGGGTAAGGCAACATAAGTCTACTACAAATGTGACTTGCCACTGGATCAATATTTCTTGATCCAGACTTGACCTGAACAGTAACTGATGAATCAAGATCATATCAACTTGGGTTAAAAGTCAAAATGGCTGAAGTCAAATCAGTTTAGAAGGACTATATATGCTCTGTAACATTTTCTAATGAAGGTTTACTTGGATCAGGTTGAGCAGTATCATCAAGGAAGTGTATTCTCATCCTGAACCGAAACCTGAAACAGTTACTGACGAATCAAGATATCTTGACCTGAACCTGACTCGTGAACCTGTTTCCTAACAGCTTTGGTCAAGATTCCCATCCCTACATTTGCCCAAGCAAAAAGGCATTGATGTGAATGAATCTCAGTAAGCAAAGTCATTTTACAACTTTATTACCCTGATCCTGACCTGAAGTTAGGTAAGGAATGCCAAAGTTAATTAGTACCTCATCATATGGAGTCTGGTTATCAGCTGACAGAATGAACTCTCCTGATACATCAGGATCATGGCTAACTACCTGAACGTCCTGAAGTAATTCTGGTAGAGATTGAGGGGAAGAGTGCAATACACCCTGTTCTCCAGCAGCACAAATTTGCAATATGCCTTGTGAGTTGCAACAAAAATCTGATGTGTTGTTTGGCTTCTCATCAGATACATTTTTACCCTTATCATCCAACTTCAAAGAAACATCATCTGTTTTATTTTGATTTACTTGTGGTGCCATCAACAAGTCAGTATCCATACAGTTATCAGTGGTGATTGGTACTAGTGGCTCATCAAGTGCTATCTTATGAGATTCTTTGCCTTCATCAGCCATTTTTGGCTTGTCATCTTTCAGAGAAAGATTCACAAGAAATGATGCTTCATCTCTCTTTAGATCCTTCTCAGCATTTGATGATGAGTTTAACCATTCAGTAGCTTCAGAAGCAAAACTGTTCTTCATAGGGGATACATGAATCTCAGAATTCATTTCTTCAGTACTGATACAGACACTACATAAACGTTGAGGAAGAACCACAGCTTGTTGTGATTGCAGATCAGGTGAATCAGAATGCTCACTTGGATCAGCTATAAATCGATCTACAAAAGCTGAAGCCAAAGGAGAAACAGACTGCAAGTGATCAGAACGATTCTTATTAGATTCTATAATATTCTCGTTGGTGCTAGTACAGCTTCCATGTACATTTTGAGGCAACTCTGCAGATTGCTTCGAGCATTCTGGTGAAACGGAATCATCATCACAAATTTCCAACGTATCAGCCAGAAAAGCATCGACACAAGTTGAAGAGCCACCACAAGTTTCATGTTCAGGAGAAGGATTGCCTTCACCTTCAGATTCATGACCGCTAGGAGTCAACTTTACCGTTGATACTGAACCATGAGATTTACACCTAAGCATGTCCCCTGAGAGTGTTGTGGCATCAGCAGACTGCCGAAGAGAAAACTTAGCTACAGCATCCAAGGCTAGAGATTGGGAACTGGAGAAAAACAACATGAATCATAAATAAAATCAACCCATCAGAAATTATCTTTTTATGGTATCTAAGTATGCCAAAGCAGCAGTACCTTTTTAAAATGTCTGATTTCCTGGGCTGAACAAAATGTGGCGATTTAAAGACAGGTTCAGGGGACGGGAAATTAAGATCTCCATATGTTGGTAAACCATGACTGGCATTAACTTGATGAATAGGCGACAAATTGCTAACATAGCTAGAAAAAGGAGAATCCTACAAAGGAAGACAGACCACAATCCCAATGTCAAATGCTGCAGAACGGGAGAGAAAAGAGAATGCATAAACTACAGAATACACCAACAACAACTGAGAACATATTTTCAGGTAGGTCATGAAGATGAGATGAATCCACATTGCCATCGATGACTAAAACTATGATTGAGACAATTTCAACTGCATTATTTCCATGAACAGGAAGTCAAAATTTATGCAAGTAGAAGCATCCTAACAAATTCTTGTTGTAATGCACTGAACTCAAAAGAGCTACTTTGACAAAAAAAAAAACAGTGAATACAGACACTGAAATGATCAAGAGAGAAGCAAGATAAGAAGATAAGTGGCAGATAGAAAGGTGGAATCATATGGAAATCCACTATCACTGTCCAGTGCATGCCGTTTGACAGAATACCAAGACCGAAAAACAAGCCAAGATCTACGATGCTAAGCCCTAAGAAAGCACAGAGTCAAAAAGAAAGCAAATGAGAGCTTTCTTAAAGCGACACATATTGGTTTTTACAAAGTAGGGGAAACGGTCAATGATGTGAAATGATCAAACGAACAAAATTCTCTCCAACAAAATCATCATGGCAATTCCAAATATTCTAAATCGTCCAACTCCAAGAATCATTTGATATAAGAAATATGTATCTGTTACAACAGCAAAGCGTCAACAGCAAATTCTTACTACATGCCTGAAAGAAAATGTTTTGCTTCAAAAATTGTAAGCAGATAGATTACCGACAACCTGAAGTGGTCATGCCCAAGTTCCTTTTACATGTTGAGAATCCAAGTAAAACATTTTAGCGCTCAACAAATCTACGTGGGAGGTTTGAGCAGGTCTGGCGAAAAAAGGTCCCTACAAAACCCTACCGCCCACCTCAAAAACAAACGAAATGCCCAACCCTTCTTGAAGCGAGTTCACAAGGGGGCCTAATCCAGTGTATTACTGGGGTTACTGAGCACAGACAGTCAACGGCCAACACTCCCGTCCAACAAACGAAGGATGGGTAGATAAATCTGGAAAGAAATACTCAAAAGGAGAAATACATCAGCGGTTACAGTCAGATGATTCCAGGAACACTAAGAACCAGATCGAGCCAAGTACAAACAAAAAGGAAGAAGGAATCGATGCAACGGGGCACGAGGAAGATGGAGATGGAGATGGATAGGAAGGAAAGAGGGAGAACCTTGATCGGTGGAGAGGAGGCGGTGGCGGAGGCGGTGGAGGCGGAATTCTTGCTGGCATCGGGGGAATCCATGGCGGCCCCAAACCCTAATTGCTCCCTTCCTCGGGCTAAAACGATCGAACCTCGTGAGGCTATGAGCGCGCGAGTTCTTTTCTTTTCTTTTTCCTTTTTTCCTTCTCTTTTGTTTAGGTTATTAAATTGGATTTTTGGTTCGCTGCGCTGAGGTCGTGTGAGTGGGGAAATGGTGGGAGGAGGGGGGATTAAATGGGCGAGGGCGGGAACGTTGAAATTACCGACAAGGACACCGAGGCTGTCTTATTGACGGATCAACACGTGGTCGTCCATGGGATGAGGGTTTCGTCACCCTCTCGCACGAGACAGCCTACATGTGTTTTTGTTTTTTGTTTTTTGTTTTTGTGTGTAAATTTTTTGGCCATATTGCATATATGGCCAAAAAAATCTTAAATTTTAAATCTTGATCCACCTATGAAGTCCTAACTTCCATGTCCTTAGTTCAAGTATTCGATAAAAACTATTTAATGATCATGTTTTGTTAGTGTAAACAAACTTAAGCCGTGGCCTTGGGGCCGACGCAGCTTGGTCCGGATCCGGATGATGGGGGATCTTCTTGAGACATTTCTTAGGACTGCTGAGACGGTCGATTACGATGGCCTGGCCGGGGCGGGGTCGTCGTCTTCTCAGGATAAGGGGCTCCTCGCCTAGGCGTTCTTTGTGAGAGACCTCGACCTTCGTACCTACGCAAAGGTCGAGGCGGGGAGCTCGGCCCGACCCCTCTGACAATCCAGTTAGTCTCGGAAGGAGTGAATTTTTTCCCCCCCCATTTGCTCCTCGGAGCGTAAGGGTTTTTATAGTAAGAATTATCGTTGCGTGATGTGCCTGCCCGTAGGGAGCGGGATCGTACTTCTGGTAGCGTCTGACATTACCGTTGCGTGGCGTGGGGTATCGAGCCTGAGCAGGGTGTTAATGTGCCTCGGTAGACGTTCCGGTCCGCGTTGACCGGGTGGCTCACCAGGTTGACAGGGGCGAAATGCGTCACCTGATGCAGCTGATGTCACGTGAGTTTTATCGCTATTATTACCCTCATCATGTTTAGTCTCGTATCGATTAAAACGGATGTTTGAATAAATAATAATTGACTTTTGTGATATGAGATTGAAGAAAGTAATTTTTGAACATTCAACTTAAATTTATATTATTATTAATTTGTTATTCTTTGACCGGTACAAAAGGTCAAACCACATAGATTGTTAGATGATTTGTTGCATTTCCAACTTGTATACTGCATTTACTATGATTCCCATCTTAACTTGACATTTCCAAGCATTCGTTGGTGTGAAGGAATCGATAAACTAGTCGACTACTGAAACTTCAATTTCATGTACGAATACTCTGAATCGATTGGCCTTTTTCTTCCTACAAGAATGCTGTCGATGAGTCAGTCGACCTCCTGCAACAAGGTGTTTGTTTCGATGTCCAATGGCGAAGAACAGTAGCAGCGAGGAAGGTTTATGCGAACACTTGATTCGTCACTCGAATCCTACTCGACCAGTTGGAAAGGGAGGTCCTTCTTTTACGTTTCTACGTGGTCTAAACGTTTGACCGTTCTATCTTGGCATGCTGATGTTGCTTGCGGCTTGGCGGCTCCCATGGCGGTCAGCACAAGGAACCTCGCACAGACGTCAAGAGATGGAAGAAGATTACTTCCCCCTCGTCATTTACTCCCTCCTATTATTTATTGGCAGAAGGGTGTAGAACACCTCGGCCTAGAGCTATGGCTGGGCTGCAAAGGTCGGCGACGACGTTCCGGAGATCAGGATCGTCGGGGGTGGTGTGGGACGAGAGGTTCTTCTCGGGGGACCTGAGTCGGATGAGGAAGGAGGAAGCCGCCGCGGAGTTCAGCGAGCTGAGGCACTCGAAAAGCATGGCATCATCGATCAGAAGGACGACGGCGCGCAGCGGCAGCACCGGTGGCCGGCACGCCTTCCGCGCAAGCTTCGTCTCGCCGGGCATCGACCCGCCATCGCCTCGCTTCATTTGCTGCGGGTTCCTCGGGACGAGCAGGTCGGCCCAGCGGCCGAAGCCGAGAAGGCGCTGAGCCCGGAGGCCGCACGATGGATCTTCCTCCCCTCCTGCATGCTTTCATGCAGCGTGTCGAATCTGCAACTTAGTTAAGATCGATGTCTCTCGTTTTGTTTTGGTCGATGCAGCTTGTTGGTACACAGTTTCGATTGATGGAGTGCCGAGGCCGATGATTCCTGAAACCGAGTGTTGGAGATCATCTGAAGCCATAGAAAACAATTGTCTGGTGCTTGTTTTGGACTTCTTTCTGTACATGTATATATATTATAAATTTTCGTCTGTAATATAAATCTCTCCTACGCATGTCTAAGATTCAGGAATGAACAAAACATGTTCAGAATTCTCTTTGTGCACAAACAAAATGTGGAGGCTAACTTCATCTCCAAAAAGAAATAGAAAGGCTACCAACAAAACCTTTAACCTTTTCTATCCCCATCACTGCAGGGAATAACTTTGTTCCATCAATCTTGGCCTACTCCAAGAGATCTGCAGAATAATATTACATTTATCAGGAACAAAAGCTTAGACAATAATACTAATCTTTCTAACTGGTAATGAATTCAACAGATCAGTAGCAGTAAACAGTGTTGCAAGGAAGTTTCCCATTGTCTTAGTATGTGGTATTTTCAGTGGCTATTAACTTTGTTTGACCATTAATTTGGACTACATCAGAAGATTCAAGGAAGCTGCTGCATGCACTGTCAACCACATATTATATGCAGGTATATTTATTGATTGCATCGAGCATGGCTGCCATCGTAGTCATTGAATAGTTTGGACGTGCCCAAAATTCAAGAATTATCATAAAGAACCTAAATCTACAAGTCTCTAAATTATTTCTTCTTTTAAGAAGAGTGTGGGAATTTACCAGTAAAAAATAAAATAGTGAACTTTAAATTATGTGAAGTCTCTTCATGCTCTGTTTTTAACATCTCTATTGGTTATCTATTATTGAGATTCATCTAAGTAGTTATACTCTGAGAGAAGAATTATTCCTGAAATTAAATACTGGCATTCCATCCTTTAATGTGGTTGGCAAAGAATATTGTTGACATGATATGTATTAAGAATAATTTGTGTTTCATGGATGCTTCTTGTGCATCTTTACAGGGAATTCCAGAGGACTGTGCTTGATATTGTTATGCTTCTTACATTTGGTTCCGTCACTTATAATTTAGCGATTCACACATCGGCTTTCCATTTAACTAAACTCACCTAGTTAGATTGCATAAGCACAAATTGATTTATCACTTCAACATTCTGCAGTAATCATTGTGTGTTGGTGCTCTGTTATTAGTGTCAAACAGGCAACCATTCCATATTGATCCGTGCAACTCTTCTCCACGGAAAGTTGCACTATTTTTTGTCGAACATGACATGTGATTGGATGTTTCCGCATTTATTCTTGGCATCATTGTTGTGTTGCTGAAGCTTTGGGCAGAAACTTTGGATCCATCTCCCCCCCTGTTCTTCTTTACCAATGAAGAGCTCGCTGACAAGGACTTTGATGTAAGTTGATCGGAAACATGTGTTTCTGGCGATAATTGTCCTGAGATGACAGCAAGCAACAATGGCAGCATTATGAACTGGTAGAAACTGGCTCACGATCTTGGTGAGTGCCATAAATTGATGGCTTAAGGAAGAACCGGGTGAGTGCCATCAGTATCAGGATGGCACAAGTATACGAACATCCACTGGGAAAGTTGGAGCAGTAATGCTCGTGCAGAGGTGGAAACAAACACTTGCAATCGACAGACGTGTCTGTTCTCGGCACAACATCGATTGAGACTGGGAAGTGTGACTTTAGGGTTTCGTTCTCGACAAGGAGTTCTTGGCAGAAGAATAAAGTGAAGTGAGCAACTTGACGTTCAGAACGATCTCTCTTCTCTTGCATGCACCATGAGATCTGACTCATAGTTCCTTAAATTATACGCAATAAACTTAGAGATTTCTAGGTTTGGAAGATTCAGATGCCAACAAGTGATCAAAGTGGAGAGATATTTCATATACCACTGTTGTTGTTGGACAAGATCGAGAACTAACATAGAGACTGGTTTCATAGTTTGATAACACGATCGCTGCGGAAAGGACGAGAAGTGGGGAGAGTACAGATACTACAACATCATACTACATACGCGATTCTCAATGACAGAGGGAAGCGTTTGTATCAGACTTGCATATGCTGCATATTACTACATAGACAACAGCAAGGACATAGGAAGCCTAGCGATCGCTACACAAGGAGATGGAGGAGATCTGTCATCCATCTTCATCCATCTTCATGCACACGACTCCTCCTTGACGTGAATGGCTTGTGGGAGATACTGCGCCATCTGCTGCTGCTGCTGCTGCTGCTGCTGCTGTTGCTGGTGAATGGGGCTCACTCTTTTGCAGGCCATGATGAGCTCGCCGGAGAGGGAGATCACCGGGAGGTTCTCGCAGTTGCAGATCTCGATCATGAAGCCGTCGGGATCATGGAAAAACATCTGGTCCACGTAGATCCCGCCTTCCTCCACTCGACTCTGGATGTAAGGTATGCCCATCTCCCTCAGCTTCTTCTCCACCAAGGCCAAGCTCTCGCACTGCATCAACAAGTGTAGCTTCGGTCATCTCACGATTTTACAGTTCTCTCTGAGTTCTTGGGAATCAGGTACGAGCCATGGAGGATGAATCATGCGTTAGGTAATGTAAGACAAAAGAAGCGTCATCGTCATGAGCTGTGTGTGTCACGGCAGCCTGCGCGCTGGAGTCATTTTCACAAACATGAAAAGTATGCTGCTTGTGATGCAATCTGAGCTCAAACTTCCTGAAATTAGCACTCGTTGTTGACTTGAGAAACTTTGATACAATGTTCAAAAGATTATAGCTGGATGTAGAATATGAGCTGAGGATTCTTTCTCTTGTGGTTAGGAAACAGAGCATGCCTGATCTCCTAAAACATGCAAGTAAAAGAAACACAGAGAAGGTGAATGGATTACCTGGAAGGAGATATGGTTGTCCTTGGGGTTAATTTCCCTCTTCGTAGGCATGTTCTCCGGGTCTTCAGATTGCAGCAGGTGGATGCCAATTCCGTAGTTAAACAACCTAGACGTCACAAGAAGAAGATATGGTTGCTGCACATTCTTGTGGCTGTGTTCTTTCAGTGCTCATCAGATCAAGAAGAGTAACTTACCAAGCACCGTCAAAGTCGAAGGATACGGGCCTCCGGACGGGGAGGAAGCCGAGCACGTTGTGGTAGAAATCCAGCGACCGCTCCACCGATCTGCAGACGATGGAGATGTGGTTCAAGGAAGCCAGCGGCAGCGCTCCACCGCTTCGCCCCAACATCTTCTGCAGTCTCCTCCTCCTCCTCCTTGCTTGCTTGCTTCCGAGAGGGGGGAAGAGTGAGGAGTGGGCAGAAGCTGCAGGTATGTGATATGGACGCGACGAGAGGGTGGGCTTCCTGGGTGAGCGCGGCGGTGTAAATATATGCACGGCTTCGGGTGGGGTCCACACCACCCTCCAATACAAGACAAAACAGGTGGCCTACCTGACGTGGAAGATTTACAAGATTCCGACACGTGGATCCGACCCGGTGCATTCGCCTACCCTCTGACCTGGTGATATATATATATATATATATATATTCTAAATCTTTAGGTTCTCATCAAAAGAAATATCATTATGGATATAATACAGGCGAGTGTCAAACTATATAAATATTTTATTGGTTTTTTATTTTTTTTAATTTCTGGTGTCTAGAATTTTTCTTTCAGTGTTGATGTCCTCTCTCCCCTAATAACCATATTTTCCTTATATTTCTTGGAACAACTTATTTGATCAGAAATAAATATATAATTATAATGCATAAAAGTCGCTTTAAGTGTAAACAACTATTACATATATTGAAGATTATTTCTTAGTTATTCATGCAAAGTTTGTGTCCTAAAAGTTGCCCACACATATGTAAACATTCTTAAAAGGCTAAAAATTTCAAGATTGGTGTGAATTTTTGTTGTAACTATTGTGCTACTTCAGATTGGTAGTGACCAAATACAAAGTAATACTTTATTATCATATACTTCCTGGAAGCTAATCTGAACCTGAGATTGGATTCCAATACACACATTGTGCTATGTTGTTAACTAGTCTTCTGTGAACTCAATAGTGGAGGCATTAAGCAAGAAGAAGATGTGAGATTAGCTTCTAGTAGTTGTACACACATCACTTGTGATTTGTAGCCAAGAAGTCCTTCCTGGTTGGCATACCTCATTTCTAATAATGCAGCTACAAGAAGAGTGACAGAAAAGACCTGACAGTCTCTTTGGCCTCTTGTGTGCTGGAACTGCAAAGTTTCAGAACCAAGCTGGATGATCAAATTGTTGGAAGGACTTGCAGCATCAAACAACTTGAGATTTGGATGCCAAGGAGGCCCTCCCTGCAGATGGCATCTCCCATGTGTAAACCATTGATCAGCAGCTATAAAAGTGAAAGCAGAGTCCTCCTCATCTCTGTCATCCTGTGTGCGCTTGAACTGCTTAGTCCTCAGTATGCACTCCCAGTACCAAAAACAAGGAGTTGAATGAGCTGGATAGCATCAACCAGAGGACAGCAGAAGGTTTAATTTGGAGTGTCATCAGAAGCTTGGATCTTCTGCACTTAATACCTCAATGATCTGTAGTTTTCGAGTTGTCAACTTGGATCACTATGACATGTGAAAGAATCTATCATTGCAGTTTCATTAGGTTTATCACAAAATGGTGCAAGTGGATTGGCTTGAGACATTGTCAACAAGTGTAGATGGTCTGGAAACCTCAATAACTTGACCTGTAATAGCCAATGAATCTTTGAGCAGTTGAATTCTACCTGAGGGGAGGTTGACCATTTAAATGTGTATTCTTTTAGGTCATGATGCATCATGGCCATTGTGGAAGTCTAAAGCTTAGTTCACATTTGTTCTTTTAAGAGGAAAAGTCTTGAGTGAGAATAGTAGTGCAATGCCACATCAAGCAAAAGAGAAGAGATAGCCTTGTCATGAAATCTATAAATCCAATCGATATCAATAAAAGAGGTAGCCTACTTCACCTTCTCATAGCTTATCATGCGAGGATATGAACTGACAACTGTAGAAACATGTCTTGCCAACAAGAATGATCATGTGACATCTACAGTGAACTTTCATGTCATGAGCAGAAGCACTCAAATGCAACCCCTCAACCTTAGGAAGTTGCAATAAGTGAAGACACTGACACAGACACCTAAACCACTCCTTTCACTTCTTCATCTTAGAAAAGTTGTGGATCAGAGAGAGAAGCTTCTGGTAAGGCACATCAAGAGAAAGAAGACAAGCTTATAAAAGAAGAAAAGATCGGCTTCCACAGATGCTTCAACATCAACTTAGTTGGAACAGGTTTCGAAAACTATTGTCAACTGGCTGAGAGATGGAGATGGAGTTGTTTATTCTTTCTTTTTCTTACAAATGAAGTCATTGCTTCGATTGCATGTATATAGGACACTAACCACTGACTAAGAAATTTCTGCAAAACAAAGCATTCTGTCGATTCAAATAGAAAAAGAACTGTTTGATGATGCCAATGTAGAGTACAAAATGAAAAAAAATGCTGCTCGTTCTAATTGTAGACTCTACCTAATTCTCTGTTTTATTTAGAACAAGATAGTTGTAATGTTTTCAAATTACAATGATTTTAGGGAGTATAAGATGCATCTTTTTTTTTATACATATAATGGAATAGAACTTCTTTTCTAAATCTGTGCATTAGAAATAATTTTTTTTAAATAAAGACTGTTTCTACTTGTGGAGATGAAATAGTCTCTTTTTGAATTATTATTGATGAAACTTGGGATTTAAGGTCATGAATGATGACTTGCAATGTCATTGACAGTGATCTTTCCATAAAACAAGACTCTCCTGTATGTGAATTCTAAACAATTGCTTAGCAATCTACATGCTGATTCTTTCAAATCTATGTTTGACTTGAGCCATTAAAATTATTTACAATGAAACAAAATATAAAGAATGATTAGGGACTTGGCTAATCTAATAGGTATAAAGAATTATCTGGTTTTGTTGTCTTCTCTGCTCATTGCTGCGGTTAATCCATCATCTGATGGTCCAAAGATTTGCTTTGAGTAAGCAGCAACAACACAGCTGAATGAAACCCAGAGTTATTTTCTTGTAATTTGTGGGAACCCCACACCTGCAATTCTTAGATCATCCATCCAGTGTTATCTCCTGGTTGAGGAAAGCATCTTCCTGAATGCTTCCAAGCTAATTAACATCATCATGTCTTTCCCCTACTTCATTCATGGCTTCATCTTTTGAAACTTGCACTCTATGGGAGACTAATTGAAACTTGCAACTGTGTTTACATCTGTGAGAGATTCCTGTATCTTGATGAATGGATATATAGGCTTCTGAGTCTGCAGGAAGCCTTGTTCAGACCAACACTGGGACAGCAACACTCTCTTGAAGGTCCACCTTGCACGAATATGGCCACAGGATCCCTCTGCATGACAGCAAAGTGAAAGGTACATTCTCTTGTTTGATTGCCTTCATTCTTCCTGGTGACCAATGCCACAATGAGTGACATGTTGGAACAGTTCAAAGCAGAGGAAGAAGAGGAAGAAGAAGAAGAAGAAAAAGAAGAAAAAGAAATCTCCTTCATGTATCTGACTGGTTCCCCACTCACACTGTCCCAATCCTCCACCTGCTTCTCTCTAATATCTTGTTATCCAATTGTTCTCCATTCTCACTATGAGACAACCACGTAAACCTGTCATTGGCCAACTAATTCCAACAATTCAGCTACCCACAATAATGGCTTGCTAGTTTCGACTTGATGTTGGTGGTGGTGTCAGGTTAAGGGGAACCCTTCAGATTATAACCTAAGAAAGAAAGCTGATCTACCAAATGAATGCTTCATGGCAACCTCCCTTGAGGTGGGACACCGACACAGTTTGGAGCGAGCAAAAGACCGCCACTTTTCCTCCTGTCTGCAACTCTCGATCCAAAGGAAGAAGTCAGGCGACCGAGGGGAAGCAGGAGTGCCCACCCCATCACGACTCATCAGTGGAGTCCTCGGAAGAACTCATGTCTCCTTCTCAAGTCGCCTCCCTTTTGCATCCAGCAACAGCAGCGACAATGAATAGGAACAATATATTTGCATGGATTTTTAGAATCATACTGACGTAGCATCCTTTTATGAGATCAATTTATGGTGACCGATGAGATAGGTCGAGTCTGCCTGAAGTATATCTCGGAAGGCAAATAGGCAGCAGCATTTAATGGTGATCGGACGTTGCTGCAAACTGTATCATGTAGAGATTTTGGATTCTAGATCGAGTTTTTCTGATCATAGAACAGTGGTTCGAATATTATTATGGATTTGTTGATGAGGAAGGATGATGGAGCAATCATATCTGAGATAGTGTACGTGAGGAGAGATTGGAATGCGTTGGAGATGAACGGTGACATAGGAATTCACGTACGGACGATGATGAGGAAGCGGTAGTTCGTATTTGCGTTTTACCCACGGCGGCAGGAATTGAAGCAGGAGAAGACTCGGAGAACGCGTGGTCGCTTGCGGGGCCACCGCAGATGGAGATGGGCCATGACGACTTCAATGCCCGGTTTGAAGCAGCAGCAGCAGCAGACCCTCCTCTTCTCTCCTCTCGCCTCCCTTTTGTTATATGCCACCTTCCATGACACTGTCAACGCATCAACGCAGACTCAGAGAGAGGAAGAAAGAGAACACACAACCATACAGAGAGAGAGAGAGAGAGAGAGCGAGCGAGCGTAAGATATGAGATTTGAGGTGTGAAACGCTTTGGAGATCCTTCGGCTAGCTCACCTCTGCGAGAAGATGGATTCTGAGGGAGAAGTTTGGCGAAGGGATGTAGCGAGAAGGAACCACCCTCCTTTGGTCACTTCTCCCTCTTAATCTTCGTTTCTGTTCTTCTATTGCTTTCTTTTTGGGTTCTCAGAAAGTTTTTGCTTATCACGTTCTTTTGGCTGCAATTTTTTGTTGGTGGCTCCTGAAATGTTGATCTGATCGCCTGTTCCTCTTCCATGTTAAACTCTTTCCAATCTATGTTTCTATTTGATGCAATTTGGAAATCTGAGGCAGAATTCCTGCTCTGTTTCTTCGTTTTCTTGTACACAGGTTGATAGCAGAGCATGCCTCTGTAGAGTCGACGCTGGCTTGAAGACGGTAACTGGAGCTAAGAAGTACGTCCCGAGCACAAAGCTGTGTGTTCAACCCAGAATTCGAACGTCGATCCATCCCGTTCGACCCAACCCAGCGTTCGATAGGAACCGCATCCAGTCTCCTCTGCTACCTGGCCTCCCCGACGACCTCGCCATTGCCTGCCTGATCCGTGTCCCCCGACCTGAGCACCGGAAGCTAAGGCTCGTCTGCAAGCGGTGGCAACGCCTCTTGGCCGGGAACTACTTCTACTCCCTCCGCAAGAGCCTCAGCGTCGCCGAAGAGTGGATCTACATCATCAGAAGGGACCGCGAGGGTCGGATTTCGTGGGACGCCTTCGATCCCAGATTCCAGCTGTGGCACCCTCTCCCTCCCGTCCCCAAGGAGTACTCCAAAGCCATTGGGTTCGGCTGCGCCGTCCTCCACGGCTGCCATCTCTACCTCTTCGGCGGCAAGGACCCGTGCAAGGGGTCCATGCGGCGGGTCATCTACTACAACGCCCGGACGAACAAGTGGCACCGAGCTCCCGACATGCTGCGGCGGCGGCACTTCTTTGGCGCTTGCGTCATCAACAACTGCTTGTACGTGGCCGGAGGGGAGAGCGAAGGCGTCCACCGCTTCCTGCGGTCGGCGGAGTTCTACGACCCCAGCAAGAACAGGTGGTCGTTCGTATCGGAGATGAGCGCCGCCATGGTCCCCTTCATCGGCGTCGTCTACGAGGGGAAGTGGTTCTTGAAAGGCCTCGGGCCGCAGCAGCAACTCCTCACCGACGTCTACTTCCCGGAAACCGACACCTGGTGCCCTGCGTCGTCCGGTGGCATGGTGGCCGGATGGAGGAACCCATCTGTTTGCTTGAACGGCCGGCTCTTTGCTTTGGATTGCAGGGACGGTTGCAAGCTGAGGGTGTACGATGCAGGCGCGGGTTCATGGAGCAGGCACATCGACAGCAAGCTGCACCTCGGGAGTTCCCGAGCTATGGAAGCAGCCGCTCTCGTTCCTCTCAACGGGAAGCTCTGCATCGTCAGGAACAACATGAGCATCACTCTGGTGGACGTCGAGGCCAGAGATGGCGCAGGGAGCGGGGATCAGAGATGGGAGACCATCGCCGGGAAGGGGCAGCTGAAGACTTTTGTGACGAACCTTCTGTCGAACATAGCAGGCCGTAGAAGCAACAGAAGCTACATCGTCCACTGTCAAGTTCTTCAGGCTTAGAACACAAAGATTACAGAGACTTGCGAGACACACACGAGGCAAGGAGGAGTCTACCTCTCTGTTTTCTTCTTCTTTTTGTCTCTGTAATAGCCGACGACATGGTTTCTGGCACAGCGAAAAATGTTATGCATCATACGAACAGGTTCTTCCAGGCACTGTCATGCTTTGTCACAAAAAATCTATTCTTTTCTTAGTGATTTAAATTGATTTTAGCATGAGATATAGTCTTCTATAATCGAGTTAAATAACTAATTTAATTATCTGTGATCTTTGGTCATTTGAAAAAAATACTACATGTTATGCAAGGAAAAGTTTGATTTATAATGAAATCAAATGTTCTTATACTTTTCTTTTTATTTTTCTTACTTTAAAAAGACTTAGAACAACTTAATCTCATCTCAGATTTGATACAGTTATTACAACTCACCAAAACTAAACTGGTAGGTGAAAGGTGTTTCCTACCCCGGTTCAACGTACCCAACGATCTACCTTTTTGCAATTGTGGAAAGTTGATCATCTTACTTATGTGGGGCCTCTCTGGGCCCCGATAATTGTCCAATCACAAGGCAGTATGCGGCGCAAATAAATTAAAGACGGGTAGTGTATTTTTGTACTCGTGGCTTGCGCCTGAAACTGAGTTCGGAAGATGAGTTCGGACGCGACTCGTTTTCCTCTCCCCATATAAGTCTCACTCTTCTGGAGGCGGACCGGTGTTTCCATCTCTCCTTTGGGCGGGGCGAGAGCGGAGGCTTATCCAGGACTAGGGTTAGGGTTTCGTCTCTCTTTTCGGTTCTCGCGCAGAACAAAGACGAGACTCGGATGGAGGAGATCACGGAGGGCGTGAACAACGTCCACATCACCGCCGCTGATGCCCACAAGAGCAACCGCATACAGGTGTCGAACACTAAGAAGCCCCTCTTCTTCTACGTCAACCTCGCCAAGGTACGAAAACCCCATGATCTCGTGGTCCTCTAATATTCCGTGGAACAACCTCTATTTCTTTGTTTGTACTTTATCTGTAGGTTCCATGTTTTTCTCTTTCATCCTTGTTTTCATGTTTTTCACCTTAGCCGCTCTAGTTAGTATGTAGTGTTTCCGGAGGTTTTTTTTGATGTGACGGTGCCCTTTAAAGTTGATTCCTTTTCGCTTTTTGGTTTTGCGATGGAGAGGTTAACCTACAGGAATAGGCCACTCTTGAGATCGGGATGGTCTTTTTTTTGCCCCTGTTTTCTTATCCGTATCTCTTTGTTGCTTTGATTTCAATATATCGACGGTGCCTCAACAATAACACTTTTATGTGCAGAGGTATATGCAGCAACACGATGAAGTTGAACTATCAGCTCTTGGAATGGGTACTTGTTGATCTCCCTTATCCTGTGTATTTAGTTATCTGGCATATAAATACCTTCTATTTGAAGCATAATCAATGCTTATGCTTGTAATTTTGTATTATTGTCTGTCTCTCTTTTGTAAGCGCTAGCATTGGCTAGTTCATTGTTTACACCAACCCGGCAGTTGCACACATCTCAGAAAATTGAAATCCATTGGAATTTAAAGTTTTGTTTGCAATTGGCAATCATACTGTTGTTCTTGAGACTTTGATTTGGTAGCTTGGCTTATTGGTTCAGTTTGAGGGGATTATCATATATGTGAAAACCTTCGGATAACTAGATTTATGTGAATCTAATGCTTTAGTTTCTCATAATTTTGTTTTATTTTGGGAACTATGTTTATCTCATTGCAATCAAATTTTATATGTTAGTTTTTTTCATGTTAGTTATTCACATCCTAGTTATAAGTGGCTTGCTGCAATTTTTTATTTCATGATTGTCTGAGGGATGCACATGGATCCTCATGGCTTTTTTATGTGTTGGTTTATATAAATGGAGTCAAAACTTTGTGCAGAATGTGAAAGAGTTTTGTTTATCCTTTGACATGTTATGAGCTAGTGTAATCATAATTATCAAGCGTACCCTCGAATATCTGTAATATCCTTGTGCTACTGCTAACAACATATAAAAAGATGAAAATGTAAAAGGGCCAGGAGACCTTGGAATCAGGCCAATGTTTCTACCTTATCCTTGTTGAAGCTAGAACTTTTCATGCATGAATCTCTTCTATGATATTTTGGGATTTTATATATTATATGTTTATTAAACATATGGTCTGATTGATTGGTCCAATGATCTGACCAGTGACCTTGAGGTTTGTCTGGGTTTTTAGCAGTCCGATTTTGATAACTATTGTTGTTTGGGGAAGCAGTAAAAATTGTTAATCGTCATCCTTGCCTTTAAGGGTCTTACTGTCTTGGCAGTTTTATCTCAGCTAAATTCGCTTGCTATTCTCACACTTGTATGCATATGAAGCCAACCTGCTCTTGGAACTTTGAACTGACGCGTTCCCATCATAGACTTCTGCCGAGTAACTCTTTATATAATTAAGAAACTGTATACCAGTTTCTTTTCTTGAGTATACCCAGAACTTGATATGTCTTTATATACAAGTTAAAAGCAACCTAAGTGGTAGAGTGGAATTGTAGTAAGCAATATAGTGTCTAGAAACTGGACTGCTGGTAATGCAATGCCACTCTGCCCACATTGAAGGAAATGCCACTTTGCCCTCTGTTCACGCGAAGGAACACTGCTCTAGGGTTGAAGATCCAGATTTATACAGTACTGAAGATACTTCGATTATAAGTGATATATGTTTCCTTGCGACGATCGCCAGGCTTCATTCCTTGTGATGTCGACGATTCATCTTCACATAGAATCCAAAGCAGATGACCCTCATGTGAGGACCATGTAAGCACAGCGTCGCATGCGAGGGCAACATGATGAAGCACATGGGAGTTGTGCTGTGTCCCACAAATAGAAATGAATATAAATAAAAAAGATATGGCTGGACACATGTCCGATAGTGTTGACGAAATATGGTACATGTCGGACACAGATACGCCCACCAAATGCAGTTGTCAATGCTTCAAAGGTGGCACAAGAAATTTTATGTGAAATAGTCGTGAGCTTTAGCATGCGCTCATGGTTACAATTTGACTCACAACACACGCACATGGTTACTATTTGCATTTTTGGTGCACCAAGTTTGTTAGATCAATAAATGCCATCTAGTGTGATTCTTCTGTCTAAATTTTAGGTTTTTTTCATCAATTTTTCATATTACTTCTTTGCTGTGTCATTGTATCACCAACACTTTGGTTCAGTTTCTGAATTCTCATTGCTATATTAATCCTTGACTAACATAATTAACAATAACCAAGATGGAAGGAAAAAGGGCAAAAAGGATGGGAAGTAAAGTAGATAGAGGAGAGAGTAGTTCGTAAGGTATTCTTTGTATTTTCAATGATTTCATCAAGACATTTCTAAGCTTCATGGATGAAAACTTTTGAGGTTGTTCGTACTACAACATTGTTTTATACCATTATTTACGTTATGAACGACTTTGAAACATAATGTTGTTATGTTATCAGAAACTAGAGTAGCTGATCCTGTTTTTGTTATTCATATTTCTGCATACAGGGCAATTTTGGATTAGCATAGAGCATGTGATATGTTAAACCAATAAATACCATCTTCATTATCCATAAACCAGAACGAAATGTCGTCTAAAGGTTCCTTCTTCGTATTAGATTTGGAAGCAGTAGAATTAGATAAGTCTTCAACAGAATCTTCCATTTTTTCTTCAGTTAAAACGAAGTGCCTGCATAATGTACCTAGAAAGATGCCTCTATATTCTATTCTGATGAAAATGATTCATGAACTCGAATTTCCAGCCTTGCAACTATAGAGGGAATCAATGGCAAGCCAATAAATGAAAGATTACAATAACTGGCAATTCTATGAACTTTGACAATTGGCACTTAGCGCGCCTTGCCTTCACTAGGATCTATGGTGACACGGACCTTCTATATTTTTTTGCTGCTTTCAGTTTCTCAGGTGTGGCTTCAGTGTTACTCGCATAATTAAATAATATCTTCCATATAGTAATAGTAATTTCTCAAGCCTAATTTTCACCTTGCTACATTACACGTTCATTAAGACACGTGATTTATTGCCATAGTATTAATTATATCTCCTTATGTTTCTTTTGTTCATTATATTTTTCAGCAATTGCAACTGTCGTCACCATTGCGGAAATTCTGAAAAACAATGGTCTTGCCATCGAGAAAAGTAAGATTCTAGATTCTTGTATGTTTTCGGTTCTTCCTGGGTTGATGCTGTTTTTCATTTGTTCTTTTCCTGTTTCAAGTTCAGAATTTGACATTAATCTTTTTGTTGAAAAATTTTATGCAGAGATTACCACATCAACTGTTGACGTGAAGGATGAGTCTAGGGGTCGACCCATCCAAAAAGCAAAGGTAAGAGTCGTAAGACATGATTACATTTTTGATATTCATTCAAGTATGGGTCTACAGCTTCCTGTTTATTGTTTTGAGCCTGATTTCCAGATTGAGATATTGTTGGGGAAGACAGAAAAGTTTGAGGAATTGATGGCTGCTGCAGCTGAGGAAAGGGACGTTGGAAATGGCGAGGAGCAAAACTGAAAAGCATAGCGGTGTTGTCGGTTATCAGTCCTTTTTATATTATTAGAATTTGAATCATCAGAAGCCATGCTTTCTCTTCGGTTTGTGATTTTGGTGATTGAAATTTAAGTCGAGTTCTTTTGTTTCTTGAGGTTGACATCATAAATCTTTAAGTTGCTGGATTAACCTAGGAGGCTTCATTGCACACATATTTGTGCTTCATGTTAGAATTCATTTATTTTAATATTGCATGTGATGAAGCTGATGGGGTTAAAGGTTTCATCTCTTTCAGAGCTCTCGTGCCTCCATATGTGACGGTAAAAATAATAATAATGTAACAGCTCAATTTTCGTGGAGAGAAAACTAAGCATTCCGGACGCCATTCGTCAGGCCTGTTTGTATAAGTGGGTTATGAGCTCAGGCATTCGTCACCAAGCGGTACTCCGAGCCTTCTACCTGCAATGGAGCTTTTTTAAGTATTTGGATCTTTATATTTTAAAAAATTATATAAAATTATATTGATATCATTATAGGTATAAAAGTAAAATTTTATATTTATTTATCATAATATTATTAATTTTATCAATAAAAATATAAAAATAAAAAAAATAAAAAAATAATTGAACGTTTGAGTCGATGGTGGACGAAAGTGTTGTTGAGGGTTATTGTGGATGAAGAGAGCATCGAGGGTTGTTCTGTATTTACGTCGATATTGATATGGTTGCTAAGTGATTTTTTCGTCATTCTGTATGTACATTAGCGTTGATATATTAGTTGAGGCATAAAAGTATTATTTAATATTTGTGTCGTTAGTTCTTTCGTCACTCAACAATTATGTCGGTGGTTCTTTCGTCGTTTGACAACTACGTCGACGTAGATATAAAGCAACTTCTACCTCTCGCCAACTCTTTCTTCATCTACAACAAACATCCGTGACATCTAGTAGTGTTGTCGTCCGTCACTATCGACATCATCCGTTATCATAATTTTAATATTAATTTTAATTTTTTTTGATAAAATCAATGACATTATGATAAATAGATTCAGATATTTTATTTTCATAATTATAGGAATATAAATATAATTTTATTAAAAAAATCAGAATATTAAAAATGACTAACTAGCCCTCTCTTACACCAACGGGCAACAGAAGGCGCCTTAGACGGCAGGCAACAA